CTGGTTCCTCGGATTAGTGGCGGATATGCTGAGTGACATCAAGCGAGTGGCCGTCCTCTGGAGGATGGCTAGGTCCTCCTTCATTGATGCCCTATGAGTTACGACCGATCTTTCACATTTCTACCAGACGTGATACATAAGTCACTCGTGGTGGAGGATATTCTCAGTGCTTTTCAACCAACGAAGCCGCTTCGAACGGCCTCCAGGCGATCGCACCCCAAATTTCAGAGGTTCTTCGGAAACTTTGACGGCCTGTCATACCTCGCATCATCGTACTCTTGACCAGACTTGCTTCATCACAAAGAACGGTAATCGGGAACCGAGGTCAGAGAGATGAAGATTATGTAAGACTATTGCAGGCGCCATTGTAGACTCGTTCTGTCGTACAATGCCGTGATGGGTCGCAGCTGCCGCTATACATGAGGCAGACACATGTTTTACTGATCTACAAGCTAGGGAACTATTCCTAGAAGCTGTACAGTGATTCACGGAAGTGACCTGATCCGGAGAGGCGCTCTATTAACTATCGATAATTTAAGTGCCCCTTACACGTTGTCTATAGCTTCACCCTTCTGCAAACGCCATCATGATTTCCCGGACCACAAGGAAGGGAATCGTGAGGCATTCTCAGAACTCCTGGTACGTGTGGCATCAATTTCATTGTGGACACTCCGTTCACTCCACATCCAAAAATAAGCATCATTGCGAGGTATGGGAATATCAATGGATGCAAGGTATATGTGCTATTCGCTAGCTAGTAGCTATCCTATACAAACCTGAATAATCAGGAATAATCCTCACTCTCCCGCTTGCTGACACCCACCCAACGCCTCATGCCATCGTGACAAAACTGGATATTACCAATGCAGCGGCAACCATTGCAGCCCACCTGTGACTAAACCCTGGCGGTGCTCCTGAAGGACTGTTTGAACCAGTGTCGCATGTTCCATTCCTCGGGTCTTCCGTCTTATTCCCGTTTGCATCGTAGCAATTAGACAGGAAGTTCTTTGAGCATCCGAAGGCGCTTCTGTTATTGGTACTGACGATGCCGGCATCAACTGGGTTGCCTACGCCGTCGAAACAATTCATGGAGTAGACGTCGAACTGGGATTTGTGAGCCTCATAGGTCTGGTTGAAGCAGCTGATGGTTTTCCCATGCGCGTTCCCGGCGCAGAAGTATTCACCGAACTCGTTGACGGACCGACCACTCGGCTCGCAGCAACCTCGTAGGCTAGGTTCCCAGGTGCTCACAGTGGCGCACTTGAATCCGTAACAAGCAACGCTGGACATGTTAATATGTACTGTTGGCGTCCAGTAAGTGAAGTGAACATAGTCAAGCAAGGCCGAAATGGGCAGACCGAGGAGCTTTACACTTGCGATCCTGGCGGAGATGTACGCGATAGAAATACTTTCACGTGGAGAAATCGAAATTAGGACTCCTACCGATGTCGTGGGCTGGAGAAAGGCAATGTCGGCGGAATTAAGGGCAGTTACCAGATGGACGAAAGTGGGGAGGAGAAAGTCAGTCTAAGTTGTGGAAGATTATCGCAGCGCGACTCACCGTTAGTGCGAAGGAGAGCAGTGCCCAGTTTTCAGCCCGTTTTTCGACTGAATAAAGAGCGCCCGCATGGATGGCGCCCGTCAATTTTCAAATATCAATCACTTGTTGCCTTGTCAAGCGCTGTTTTTGATGCTTATCATTCAGATTGATCATGAATTTCGGAGGCAGCGATCACTGTAGGCTTCTGTAGTTGGGACAAGAGTACAACTGATTAGGCTACCGTCTGTCGGTTTGCACCTTACTCTACCAGCAGAGATCGTTGTCCATATCGTCTGTTGACAGATCAGACCGCCGTTGCATCCAAACAGCTTGAGCTAGTAAATATCCGCGACTCGTGAGTTATAAGTCAAAAGATATCTCAATTTACAAACAGGTGCCTGTCCGACACAATAATCTGAGTATTTATGGAAATGTTGAGATGCACTTATATGAGGAGAATAATACCAAGAAAGTTGAGGGGTCCGCATCTACTCGGGCTTGACCACATGTCGACACACCATACACGTCCTCACCACGCAGCCTTGATCAGATCCGATGCTCTCTCCGCAAAGACGTATGTAGCGGCTTGTGTGTGCGCCGCAGGAACCCGAGGCTATACCGCGCAAGAGCAATAAACATGTGTTTATACACCGCAAAGGAAGACAGATCCACTCACAATGGCTGATGAATCGACGACGCGCAGCCCCACAACCTTCTTCACACGTAGATCGGGGTCGAGGACGCCATAATCCGCACCCTTCGGGGACATTGATGCAGTCCCAACGCAGTGGGAGACGGTGATCGCCGACCCACGAATGAACTCGTCTAGCTCCGCGTCGGTAACGGCGGTATCAACGAGACTGAGAACATAGTCTGAGAATACCGGGGCTTGGGCAAGCCGGCGAGCAGAGCGAATAGCTTCTCGCATGACAAACAAATCGAAATCCGAGTCCAGAAGATTCGGGTTTATGGCCGGTGGATCAAATGGGTTATTGGAGGTTATTAAAACGCTGCCACCTTCGAAAATTGAAGATAGGTAAATTAATTCGGTGAGAGTCATATAGCCGGGAGACCTACGTGAAATGGGTGTCACAACCACCGTGCCAATGACCATGAAACTTCCAGTCGGAGGGAGAGGCAGGCGTGTCTTACCATTCTATGTAAGAAATCGATTGTAAACCTTCCAGATCCGGCAAAGAAGGCAAGGATGCTACATACCGCGATGATGAATTCGAAGTGAGAGGTGTGGGGCCCAGCCGACGGATCTTCGAATTGTTGGAATATCGTTGAGTTGTCTGGTATGCGCAACCAAGCCGCAGTGCTGAAAGTGGCCGCAGCATACGGGCCTGTCCGTGTCTCATTCCACTGCTTAAGTTGCTGCTCCGCAAGGGTGTCGTTGCGGAGGGCGGCCTCGTAGGTATCGGTGGAATTCACGAGCCATGTATTTGCTACAAATGGGTGGTCGGTGAAGTTCTGTCCGACTGAGGGAAGATGGACAAGAGGCTTGACTCCGACTTTGGATAGAAGCTTGGAATCACCGATACCAGAGTGTTGAAGAAGATGCGGTGTGCCTATGACCCCAGCGGAAAGGATAATTTCGTTTTTAGCAGTAACCTTGCTTCGTGGTCCTAGTTTGCAAAGGATAAGCAAGAAGGACATCTTCAAAAAGTACTCATGATGTCACCTCCAAGTGCCTGGTCATTTGTAAACTCCACGCCCTTGAACACTGGCACCCCATGAACGGATCCAGTTTGAAGAACACGGGTAACTCGAGCATTAATCAAAACGTTCAAGTTACGCCTTTTTGCAAATTCGGGAGCGAGGTATGATGTCGCCGAGCTGCTCCTTTCCCCGCCCTTTATTGTGAAAGGTGTCCATCCTAAAGTATAATATCCTTATGGTTAAATTCTCGAACTCAAATCACAGACACGAACCTATACCAAGCTGGTTTCCCGAGTTCATATCCAAATTGAATGGAAACTCGCGAGGAAGCTCCGACGTTGCTTGAATCACGCGATGGTCGAACGAATATATGAATCCGGGAAGGCTGACAGCGTTGATGCCATGGAATCCGTGCACAGCTGGGTTGAATTGACCAGTTGTGTTGTGATGGTCAGCAGGCTCGGTCCACCTTTCATTCTGTCGATGATGTCACGAGCTATTTCAGGAGCCTTCCACGAGTACGGCTCACTTTGCGGAAATATGGCTGCAGTTTATTCCAGGACCACCCATTATCTCCCGTCAACTTACCGTACCGATCATAGTCATCTGAGGAGCCACGCGTGTACGCAAGGCCATCTAAATAGTAAAACCAAGGGAGAGATTAGTACATTCGCTTGATCCATTAATATGGTCATACTCAGGGAGCTGGTACCCCCAAGGATATGGCCTTGAGGATATCCCACAGACCGTCCTTCGATGCCCGCCATGGGTGTAGTCGTGTAGTTCCAATCGGCCGGTGTGTTGAAAAGACGGCCATTGAAGAAAGGAACCTTAGAGTTGAACACATTTAGGTTGCTAGATTCCTGACATGAGATTGCCTGCACGACGAGGCTGAGTTGTGTTCTTACGAGCCACCGGCTTCTAAGACTAGAACGGAATGATTCGAATTCCCAGTCAACCGATTTGCGACTGCAAGTCCAGCAGTTCCGCCTGCACCACAAGTTGGCGTCAAAGGCAAGGGATCACTCGATGATTTCAGCTCTACTCACCTCCAACAATCACGAAGTCAAAATCGAGACTAGGAAGGTCCTCCACTCTTGCCACAATTGCACCAAATGACACCTTCGTTATGAATGAAGTGAGGCATACCAATTGGCCTAACATGTGGATTTTGGTCAACATAGCGGGATGTTCAGTGGAGAGGAGTGACAGGCCGCGTGAGGTACCAACGAACGGCTTCGACGTAAGCGACCAAGGAGCTTTGCGACCACATGATGTTGCTGGCAATGGTGGTGCCAATGGTGCACATGGGTCAACCCTGGTAGAAGCAGCTCCAACCCAAGACAGCAGCGATCAGAAGCAGGTAGCAGGCCAGTGCATTTCTCTCTTGCGTACATCCTGCACCTGCGACAGTCCGGTGACGGTCATATTGCAGCCTGGTATATTTTTGGTAGTATTAAGGGAAGGGGTTGGATCTGCAAGAGTTGGTGTATTAGTTATCTATAGATGAGTGTGTCGGGACCTGTCGCCTTACCGCCGTGATGATTGGGGGAGAGAAGAGAAGCCTGAGGCTTGCTTCTCTTCACACGACTGCACTGGAGAATGTTACGACTGGAATCGGCATGGAAGTTGTCATCAAGACAGTATCCGGTATGGTGTAACGGCTAACATTGCCGCCTTTCACAACGTAGAAGGACGCGGCAGCTCGGGGTTCGATTCCCCGTACCGGAAACATTTTTTACTCGACTTATGGCCAACGGAAATGATGTCTACGGAAAATGGTTGTCTATTTATATAATCGGGTATGGTGTAACGGCTAACATTGCCGCCTCTCATATGAGCATAACGCGGCAGCTCGGGGTTCGATTCCCCGTACCCGAATTTTTTCATGTCGCGGTCGGTCTTCACATCCTAGATGATCCTACAACCATCACGGAGACTCTGCATTATCTGGCAGTGGCGCTATCGGGATTCGGCAGGGTGATCTCCAAGGTCTGTTCCGAGAGCGAAAATAAGCAAATTACGCCGAGCACTTATGCTGAATTTCCTGACAAGTCTTACAGGCAGGAGTTACATCCCGAGTCCATAAGTACAAGGATTGAATATTGAGATTACTCCTTAGGCCATATTTCTCAATGCTCCTAGCTAACATGCCACCTTCAAGGATTTAAATTGCGATGACCTGATAAAATATGACTTATACTTGGCGCTCAACTCGAAAAACTCGTCTTATGAATAGGGGTCTTCAGAGTTGGCGCAACGGCCGTTTCGAAACGGTAATTTCAGTTTTGAAAACAAAGCTTTGAATCGAAACCACTTTGACCGCTCGAAGGCACCCCGTTGCGATTTGTGATTTAAACTGTTTCAACATCGAGCTGAGCTTGATTTGAGCAACTGAGAGATGGCGGTGACCCAAACTTGAGATAACGCGCTGGGGGGGGCTTCTTGGACCCGAACCACCACCATCTGGTGGTTCGACACCCGATTCCCACCGTTTTTTCGGTGGGAATTGGCACGAAACGGCCCGAACCGTCTCGTGACTCCTGACCGAGACTCTGCAAGAATGCAGCAGTCCAAGAACCTTGCCCCCCTCAATGTCGAGGACTAGTAGAGCAGTCTTCGTTACGAGCGATGCCTAGCTCACAACCACCCATTCGCACTGAGGCCCATTCACCACCCTCTGGGATGAGTGATCTCAACTTTCATCATTTGGTAATCGACATTTCTAAAGCCCCCGAAAAGTCCCTGAGCGATCGATTAAGAGACCTTGCCGTCGCAGTCATCGCTGAGTCCTCCTGCCCAAATACAGTCCGTGTGTCTTATTCCTTTACTTGATGCCTAACACGTATGTACAAGAAGGTTGAAGCAGACCACTAACAGTGTTATATGCTCCCGCAAGCCTCAAGTATTGCCAGGAGCAGCACGTGTTTTATCAACTAAGTGTTCACTTAATCACACTTCAAACTTTGTTTATACTTTGTACGACATCCGGAAACCCACTACCAACATTCTCTCTGCGTTGATCCCGCCCGCATCTGTAATGGAAACACCTCCCCCGAACGGAGCTTCTCCACATACCTTCTAGGCTCAAAGTCCCTCTTCCCTTTGGAATGTTAAGCCAGGGGAGAGGGTTTTTGGTGTCATAATGTCCCTGCTTCGATTGTGCGGTTAGCCGACCGCTCCAAAGCCAAGCAAGGGCTATACGTAACACACGTGGAGAAAATTTTCTATTCAGTACTGTATAAAAACCCCATGAATAATTCACATACCCAACAGCCCAACTTCTACGCTCTCTATCATGTTCTACTTCACTCCCCCCGCCAATTCCCAACGTCGCCCACGGGCCACCCCTTGGCAATAGTACCAGCCCTTTGGAAGTACGAGTCGGCAAGCATTCGTACCTCCCGTCATGGAACACGTACCAGTTCCACTGGAGGGCCCAGATGTTGGGAAGACCCAGCGAAAAAAATAGCATCGCTGTGGGCGATTATGTCCACATCCTCTCCCAATTCTCCTCCTCAGCCTTCGATCTTGATGACATTGCAGATCTGCATGGCCTAATCACGGGTTTCAGCATCACCAACACATTCTACACTATATCTTTCACCGTCAAGACAGAGGAAGTGGGGGACGTGGTGCTTCAAGTCCCATATCATTATGCCTCTCTTAGCTCCGAGGACTTCCACACGCATGTCTCCAGGATAAACTCCCCGCATTACGTGAACGATGCTGCATATTATGAGATGGTGGAACGCATTTTTGGGCATAATGGCAGGGTGAGGAAAGAAGCCCGCCCCCATGAAGTACCTGCCAAGCGTGTCAGATACTAGAGCAGAGTTCCACACAGTTTGCCAACCGTACCCTCCAGGCTCCTCTCCTATACGTGAGTTCGGGTTACTCCTCCCCAACCACACCGACACTTACAGAAGGCGCTGACTCCCTTTTAGAACTGTCTCTCCTTGAACAATCACTCCTTGATCCTTTTGATAAGCTTACGTACATATACACGCGTCGCTCTCCTTGTCCCTGCTATATCTTTGTTTGTCTTAACCCCCCCGGGGTAATAAACTCCTTTAATCTATCCGCTCACACGGTCCCATGCTCCCTCCCCACTATCATCGTATTCTGGATCAGAGTGCAACGTCATCCCCTCGTCAACTGAACATACTCAACGTCATTATGCGAGGGTCACTATAGAAGGCTGCGATGGTCGGGAATTAGGACCCTGCAAACGAGTCCTATCATCAACCTTTCAACGATAAGTACGTCTTCGCCACGTCACTAAGGATACCTTGGCTGAAAAGTGGTACGCGCCCTCCCTCACAAAGTAGTACCTTTGCGCGTGGGCCTGTATGAGAAAATTGACGAGTTAATCGTGAGCTCTCCCTCCACCAAACTCGCCCTTCCCCTTTCACCTCTTCCAGTAGGCTCAGCATTTCCTAACCCGCTCTGGATATCTATCAACGGACACATTTATATGGTGGCGTTATCCCCAATATTGCAGTATAAATGATTGGCTTAATCTCACCGTCATTACAGATATCTCTCGTCATTGACCATTCCATCTCAAACTCTGCATCATCATATCCCCAGAACATCGCGAACCTGCCGTCTGCGGAAAAGCGGCCCGTCTCGCCTCAAAAGTTTAAAAGGACGGTCATGTCACCGTCAAAACTCAGGTATATCGAGCCATCCAAGCACATCATCACATATGTCTAACATCGAAGTTAACTCCCCAATCTCCCCTTTACCACAATCCCCACAGGCTCCGTCAACGGACCTTACCTTGACATCCGTCCCGTGGCCACCCACTAGCTTCGCTGCCGCTCTACAGCAACCCTCCAACAAGAGAGCAGCAGAAGCCAGCCCCCAAAAAGAGCCGGGTGAGATCATCTTTAATGCGTCTAAAAGGAATACTGCGACACGTTTACCTCGAGCTCCGGCGGCCCAAGTGACTGAAATGCCAGCATCTGGCGAGGATGGGAGGGACCCCGCAGCTTTTCCTCCTTTATTACATTCCGCCCACCCCTTCCATCCCACGGAAGACAGCATGGACCAGGATCAGGCTACTCGTTTCTCTCTCGTACCAGCGTTCGTGCGTGCGCGCACATTGTCGCGAGAAGCGATCCCTACCCGTTCTGATAACATCGCTGTCTCCGACTCTGAGTCAGATTATTTGCCTCCATCCCCCTTGGACGACATCACTGTCGCTGCGCTGGATCGCATGGAGGCTGAAGAAAGTCTTCGTCGTACTGCTGGAACTGCGGAACACACACCCACCACTAGGGAACAGCCTGGGTAACCCATGGGTGTCGGAAGCCTAACCCACACCCATACCCACAGGTACCCATACCCAGGCGATGGGTACGGGTAATTGGTGGGTCTGCAGTGGGTACGTCGTGGGTATGACCCACGGTGGGTAACCCATGGGTTAGCCAACGAGAATACAGTCCAGAGGTAAAAAAAATGTATTTAGTAGTTATTCTATGTCATCCCAACCGTCTGGCATAAGTACATCACCCTCCGAATCACCCTCTTCCTCAGGGACCTCGGGAAGTGTGACAACCTTCGAGATGTCCTCATCATGAATCAGTCCCATGAGACTCCATCGGCCGAGACAAAGGAGCGCACGAGTCGTTTGTGCGGCCATACGGTTTCGGACATGCGTGAGCTGGAGACGGCCAAGACTAAATACACGTTCGACGTCAACAGAGGTAGCTATGGGCATTGCTAAGCGAAAGATAACTCAGTAAATAAAAGTGAGGCCGCACCTGGGATGGTCAGGTAATCCAATGCCATTTGAGAGAGGCCGGGATACATCGCTTGTCGCTCGATCCACCAAGAAATGACGTCCTCAACGGCCTCTACGTCAGTGCTCAGGTAACGGTCCAGCTCATTACGAAGTTCGGCGGGTTTGGGCGGGGCCAGTGCAGCTAGATTGTCGAACATATTCTGCATGCCACTTGTGAGAAGCAACGATAAGAATAGAAAGGAGTGGCTCACCTCTGATCTTTTCTGAGGTTCTTTTGGACGACGCTGCATCTCTTCAACGTCTAGTTGATAGTTCTGCTCAAATGCATCTCGAGTGATGTCTTCTGCCTCCTTGATCCATCTGTCCTCCCAGCCGTTGTTCTTGAAGTAGGTAAGTTTATGACGAGGGTGTAGAACTGCAGCAAAGATTCAAATATGTCAACATTTCCGCGAGTTAAGTGCAGTCAATGATGAAAATACATACCCATCGCGATGCGGTAGAGCTCAGAGTCGTCAGTCTTGGTGTAATAGCGGTTGATAGTCTTCTTTGCCAAGTTTAGAGCAACACGGATTGCGGGCTCGTAGGTTTTGTCGAGGCTGTCCGTTGTGAACTTCTGGTCAATAAGATCCATTGCCGGGATCACAGTAGCGAGATTCGGAGTCGAACGAGAAAAGAATGTCGTCGCATGTTTGAGGATCTACATGCAATGGGACGTGCGCGTGAAACCCGACTCTGCGAGGAGGGACATTATCAAGACGTCATGTGATGTAACATACCTCAAGCACGTCACAAAGTTGTGACGCAATCTTCCACTCCTCGCCACTGAGCTCGTACTGCCTCAACCCGTTCGCTCTGCTGCTGGTTATGGCATCCACCGCTTTCCGATAACGCAAGGCCATCTGAAGCATATCAAAGGTCGAGTTCCACCGGGTCGAGACATCCCTCGGAATGAGGCGAAACATCAACTTCGGGTCTCCCAGTCCTACCACGATACGACGCCATTCCGGGAGCAGAATTGTGGATGAATGGATGATGGCATAGGCGAGTTTCCGGATCTATGGGTGGGATGTGGTTAGATTGCATCAAGGTGAGCATAATCCATTGTACCTTGACGAGAACAAGCCTAACG